GTCCGGATGCAACTGCCGCGCCCTGTATAGATTACACGTCTCTAGAAGAAGGATCAAGGAACACGGCATCTCTCCGCACGTGACGAGGAGGTCTGATGCCGACGCGATACCACCACACGCCCCCGCGCGCCTCAACCGCCAATATGGTAACGAGGGCGATAGCATCGCAGGCGCTTCCGCCGCGCGCCAAATTACGTTCCGGCCGGCCGCGGTGCACGCGTCTGGCCTGGCCGGCTGCGGTTTCGCCAAGTTAATGCCAAGCCAGTGCAGGAGCAGTACCCTAAAAAACGGGTCACGCGCCGCGCGCTCTTTCCTACCTCAGCCTTTCATCTCGGCTGAGACATGCACACTAACACGTGCACACGCTATCACACATGTGAGGAAGACCCGTTGGAAGATTACGGCTTGTGAAGAGAGCTGAGAAAGAACCTATGGGAGGTACTTGATGTGAAGCTTCTAGCAGCCGAAGTATAGGTTTTCGTCGGATCTCAGAGGTTCCAACAGGGGAGGGTCACAATGACCTCCCGAGCTATACTTTCGGGATTAATAACGTCAGTAGTTGTTGTGTCCTACATATATGCAATGAATGTTAAATACGCCAAACTGCTCCCTCTGTAACTACAGAACTCTCATTTGTGAAATTTTTAGATACCAAATCTAATATTTTTTTAAAGGATCGTACCTTAAGACTGTCTTCAAAGATGACTACGGAATTTCACGGCGAATTTACCAAAAAGATGAGTAGACGGACAACAGGGAAAGAAGATAGCACGTTTCCACAATCTACCTCACGCGATTCCCAGGGTTCCTACACGAATGAGGAAACCCGACCGGAATGCTTCACGCGTAAGCAACAGAAGTTCAGCGACACCAAGCTCGCCAAGATTACCGGCGGTTCGAAACCTTCTGTAGCCCAAACAGGAATGTACACCAAGCGATGAGGGTGCATATAAATTGAAAATCCTTTATACGATACATACTGACCAGTACTCTACGTAACATGTGAATGCACCAACATGCCTCCGCTCTACCCAACTACCTGCGCTGGCATAAGAGGACGGGATGTAGGGATGAAATATTCCTATTCGGAGTCTGGTTTCTAAGCTTCGCCGTGACTTAAGCATTCATTATATATGTACGTTTTTCAAAATAGAATACTAAATGACCTGATGACAGCATAGAAGAGACAACTTGAAAGGTAGGTCCCGGCGCAAAGGATGGGGATTCGAAAATATCTGCATAGTGCCGCTCGAAAAGATTGCTCTTCCCCTTACCCTAATGACATACTCGCACTTTTCTCATCGCTTCAACGGAAGTCTTTTGTTTTCCATTTAAAAACATCGTCCGGCGCGTCTATTGAACGCCATTAAGTTTCAATGTCCAGAACAATTATGCTCCGGCGGGCAGATCGCTTTGGGCAATTTGTAGGAGCGAAGAACGCGACCTGCAGAAATGGGCAATTTCTATAACCGCAAAGGGCCGTATCGCCCGGGCGCCGCGAAGAGGCCCGCAAACCGGTTTCCAGCGGGCCGAAGCGGCGCGGAGGAAGTACGGCCTGTGCGGCGGGGGCGCTTTGTCCGCGGGGGCCGACGTGGGCGAGACGGTTAGTAGCGCGGGCAGAGGCAAGCGCGCTGGCGGGTGCGGGGCGGGCGGGGAGGGGCCGGGGCGGGTGCGGGGCTCCTGCCAGAAAAAGCGACGTGGGCCCGCAGCGCGGGGTGCCGCACCCGGCGCCGCCACAAAAACAATTTCAGGGCTTTTCTTCCTCTCCTGCTCCGCTCCGTCCTCCAGAGGTTCGGCCGCGGCACCAGCCCGCCCGGGGTCCGACGGGCTTGGGGGCGGGTTTTTTCTTTTCTTTGGTGCCAAGAGACCAGAGTTAGTTTAGATCCGCGACACTGAAAGACAAGCGAGCGGGGGCGCAGCCTCCACGCCCGCAGCCGCCGTCGTCCTCCTCCTCCGCAGCTTTTTGTGAGTCCTCAAAGCCCCCCTCTCCCCTCGCGTTTCCGCCGGAGGCCGCGTCCCCGGGTCGCTCGGGCGGCCCCGGTTCCGACCGCCGGGCCGGGCTTTTTCTCCCCGGGTCGCCCCAGGAAGCCGCCCTCCCGCGCGCCCTGCCCGCCGCCTCGCGTCCAGCGTCGCCTTTGCGAAGACGCTTCGCGATTTACACGGGGCCGCTTCAACTTAACGATCCAGCTGAATCATTCATTACGCCGCTAAATAGAAGACGAGGCGAAATTGCAGGTTGGCGGCTGTAAAAATGTCTCTTAGGGGGGACGGGGAACGATCTCTACCGTTTTTTCCTCGCGACGGAAATCGCCCTCCCGCGAGGCGCCGCGTTCAGCGAACCGGTTCTCTCCCGAAAGCAGCGTCTCCGGGCCGCCCGCCGCCGGGATGGTTTAATGTATAAGTAATTCGGGGCGCAGCGAAGCGGCGACGGCGCAAAGGGGAAGGTGAGGCGGGGCGGCGCACGTCGGCCAATTTCGGAGCGGGAGGTCGACGGCGTCGACGGCGACGCGGTGGAAGAGGAGCGGTTTCCGCATTCGAGACCACTCGCGAACGGACGGACGTGATCGCGCGGAGGAAGGCCGAAATAAGAAAAGGGGGCAGGCCTGCGTCGCAGGCGGACGGCGCGGCGCAACGGGAGCGCGGGCGGGGCGCAGGCGGGTCCGCTGCGGTGGCGCCCCCGCCCACACCGCCTCGCGAGCGAGCCCGCTGGGGGGCGCGGGCGGGCCGACGAAATCGATGAAGGAGCGCGCGATACGCCCTAAAGATTCCGGCGCGCGCGAGCGACCTGATTGGGCGCTGGCTGCAGCGCCCCCGCAGCCGCCCGGCGCGGCGCAGCGGGCCCTCCCCCAGCGCACACGGATCTCCTAGCAGCCTCGGAAGAGAATAGTATTTTTATCAGTGCCTCTGACTGGGAGGTCCTAGTGTTCGACTCCCGACGGGCGGGATTTTAGACACTGCCTAGATAGGTCGAAATCAATCGTTATCGGGAGGAGAATTCTATGATAAAAATTCTACGAAAAGTTCTAATGATTGATTGGTGATTCCGGGAGCTTCCACCGCTACGATTTATAATCCTGTAAGTGCAGTGCATGTATCATCACCGACATCTCCAGCGACCAAAACGTGCACTACTTTCGGGACTTATAACCTTTGCAGTTGACGCGCCCGGTATCCCTAATTAATCAATCAATAAATAATGATAATTTTTACCAAGCATTTGATCATACTCACAGAAACCAGTTCGAAAATTTTAAAAGTCATTTTAGAGAATGTTAGTTAGAATAATATACATCTGTACATTAATGTTCCAGACAAACTAAATCGTTAATTTCGTGGTACTACCTGCACACGCTGTTGCTCCAACAGCTCATATTCTGACATCGTAAACGTCGTTGTTAGACCTTCAGCTATGAACAAACCATGACCTTTACGAATTTTGTCTATGTTATGTGATTAGATGCATAACATGTGATGAGGTACACTGCATCGTCTAACAAACACTAATATGAAATTGAAATATCTTCAAAGAATGGACATTGCAACGAATATTCTGATAGGCTGTGATTGAATATTCAGATAGGCCATGAATGATAATGGAAATCCAACGCAGGTACGCTCTGGAATCTGATACATTTTCTGATGTTCATTAATACATTGTAAAGTTTTTAACAGACGCGAACCCGCTGCAAACATACGTAATGAACGCGCTAATATTACGTAAACATAACTCCGTAGCTCAGAGGGATCTCAGTTTCGATGTTACAAATTTGAGTGTCTCAGTAAGCAGCTGACAAAAACATTTTGGAATAAACTGTTCTTTTCTCAATATCTGTAGTTGTTTTTTTTTTTTCTTTGAAATCTAGCATCGCGTTAAATAGACGTTTTCGTTAACAATTCTTCATTGGAGGATTTAACAAAGCTTGCTGATGTCTGGTGTCGGATTCTTTAGGAATAGCCTTTGCGGTTTTTCTACTGGTTCATAACGCAAGAATGAAAATCTCTGCTACCAACGTTTTACGCATTATTGTGCCTTCAAAAAAAAGTTTTTTAAATATGTTGTATCTTAGTATGCATGCATAGTATATTTGCAAGAAACTCCCAATGACTTGTTCATGGTAATTAATGAGTAAACTGCCATTTCCTCGCTTGCGGCACAGTCCTCCACAGAGAACCTCCTTCCTCCTTCATAAACTGAAGCGCATCTCAGGAACGATTCCTGTCGCGAAGCCAGTCGACTCTCCCAGACGGCCAGAACGCAACGCTTCCCCTTCACATGCGCTCCTGCCAGCTACCCCAGAACTCGAGAACCGTCGGCCACAATAGACCTCCACAGCCACTCCACAGCACCGTGCTTCCACACGCACCTCTTGGCGACGCTCGACCTCTCCACAGACCCTCGTCTCCCCCTCCGCCACACTCCACGCCGCGGGAATTAAATTTCGAAACAGTAACGAATCGAAAGTCGCAGATCTCAAAGCCCCAAGATCTCGCCGCCGCCATGACAACGCTTATTGCTTCGCCCTATTTCCAGTCGAGTCGGAGGGGTTGTAAGAGCACCGTAAGAGCCTCGAGACCATCTCCAAAGAACAATCTCGTTATTGTTGATGAGTAACGCAGAACAAAGGTTTTTTGCCGGGTACAACTGAAAGGTTTTGATCTACGAGATGGAAAAGTGTAGTAACGGTTCGTGATTCAAAGTACCATTGCCTGCGGACGTCGTGTCTATTGTGTTATATAAGTTACTGGGAGCAATGTAGTGACTTTGTCCAATGTTTCAGCCCTGTTTTGGAGAAAAGATTATCACAAACACTGAAAAACTTTCAATACCCCCCAGGAACTTCTGAAAATAATCCCTGTTTAAAACGGGTTGCAACAACATTCCAGGATGGGCGAAATTATTTGAACGATTATCAGAACATTAAAAATGTATTATCGGAACTTATAAAACTAAATTGTCCCAAATAAAATGGACCACTCCACACCGAACAATGTTATCGCTCTTACACGGGAAGGCGGCCGGAAAACCCTTCCTGCAACACTGGCACAAATCTGACGAGAGCAACATTGTACACAGCTGATCCCTGATCCACACCTCGTCCAACAGAAAATAAACGAAGTCGTTGTCTGATCCACGAAACGTATTCATAACCGTAAGCACCAGAAAGTTGACAAAGAGTGCTCTGCCAATACGTAGAAGACAAACCTGTTATGACAAAATCAATCAAAGCCAAAATTACTGTTTTTCTAAATAAATTTAAGTTTATGAAATTCGTCCTTTCAGAGTCCATTTTTTTATCAAATATTTTTACGTTTAAAATGTTTTCCTTTAACGCCACGAACATTACAACACACGTATCCTCAAATGCACCCTGATGACGAAGTCTCGTATCTTCAATTTCGATGGGCACTTCCCTCCAAATCCCCAGAGCCTCAGCGGTGGAAAACGCGGGTACTTTCCATTCCGTACACCGCGAGTAAACAATGCAAAAGCCACACCGGAACGTAAATGTTGAAAACAAACGAAGCGCCGGAAATTCCTTCGTCAGAAAACCCACATCACAAAGCAAATAGAAACGGGTTACTTCTATGAAATGCGCAAAGGTATGTGTTGTGGCCGTGGCTTCAACATCGCTATGAACACCGGAGTACACAATTGCCAGCGTGTCTAAACGTAAGCCAGTCAAGGCAATTAAAGACGAAATTTCTCTCTCTTGCAGGACCCATACAGCCCACTTCGCCGGCCCAGGATGTCCGTAGAACTGCTTCCTTCCCATTCCTGGCAAACTTCCTGCAGAGGAAACAATTTTACAAATGCAATTAGGGAGGAAGAGGGCCGTGTTTGAGAGCGGGGTGAATAGGAATTTGGACTCTCCAGTACTCTTAAAACTCTTTATGCAAAATTCAACTGATGATCAAATGATTCAACAATATTATAAAACCTAAGTAATGCCGTCAGAGATTGAAGACACTGTTTGCGTTATTTCCCTTTCGATGGGTGTTGGTAGACGGAAATACATTGACAAAGAATTTCACGATAAAATACATTATTAAAATCAATTATATGAATCAAAGTACAATCTACAAGGGTGTATATAGGGAAATCATGTTTCATGGAGGCACTACTTTCATTTTGAGGAAAAGAATCAATCTTCAATTAAATACCAGCAAATTTTGCGCAATAAAGCCTCAGTTACACACGTTTTATGAAAAATTGGAGCTCTCCGTTCATTTACGAAACTTTAACAGTCACCACATGCATCTTGAATACATCGTCTGTTGCAATAATATTGATCACTTAAAGTTGTTCTAACAAAGAATCTCTGGCTTTGAATCAGATATATCGAAAGTCTTTAATCTGTTACGAAAAACTATTTTCACCAAAAATATTTTTTTTCTCTTTCAAAAGCATATCTGATTTTATCGTGAGCACACTCTCCAAAATAAATAATTTATTAACATTGTCTAGGCTTTGAGACCATTTCTACCCACGTAGTACATTATATTAGACCTCTCCTCCATCGTGTGTATCTAATCCCTTTTGGAGGAGGGAGAGGGGTAATCACGTATGGACGTGAACGAGGAGGGGCATTTGGGTCGCGCTCCCTTTCCAGATTTACTTTCGTCTCGTCCTCGAATTTCTTGCGCGATTCGCCGCCTGTGAAACCGCGCGAAGGAAGTGAAGCGGATTCCGTGTCCGCCCTGTGACGCAACGACCGCTTCTTCCGGCGAGGCTCCCGATGCGCGACCGCCCCCCCCCCTCGCGAGACGTTTTTGGAGAACCGCCTACGAACCGCAACCCACAAAACCTCGCTACACAAACATTTCTCAAAACAGAGAAACACGCAAGATTTACTGACTTTTCAAAACATGTTTTTTTGAAAACCCGGTCTACTAATTTAAGACTAGATATTTCATTTGAAAGTACTCAGTAACAATGAAACAAACATGAGAATAAACAAGTGTAATTTTTGAACAGAAAGTTTTAGTTTACACGTACGAATTTGTGTTGCAAATATTTGAGAGCACCACTGGTTCGATCTAGAGTGTTCATTACGCGTTTTCGAAGTTAGCTCTGTCGGAAACGAACTTGTTTAAAATCTAATCACGAGAACATAAAAATAAACTACACTATTCCAATATTCTTTACAACCTACAAGAGAGATGGCATGGTAAAAAAAACAACTAAGAAAATAAGTGGTATTGGACTGCATAAGGGACGTCCCACGCAAATATCAATCATATACAGAATCTGGAATCCTATTATGGAAATGATTCTCGGTTTGGAAGTGGCGTTCCCAGGGCGAGGTCCGAGCGTCGCACCCAGCTGCTGGCGCGGCGCCTGCCGTCCGCCGCGTCCTCGAGGAAGCTCCACCGCCCTCCGCCTATTTGTACGGGCCGGAGATAAAAGAAGGGACGGAGCAAAATAAAAAGCAGAATAGCCGGTAATGACAGAGCGCGCCCGAGCAAAAACCGGCCGGCGGCGCACGTGCCCCCCGGTGGGGCCCGTCCGACGGCCCCCAAATTAAGTTTCTTTCCATACCGAGCCCGCCGCGCTGCCTCTCTCGCTGGGCTATTGAGTGGAGGCCCCGGCTGCCTCGCCGGCCCGGCTGACTGCCAGGCAGGCGGGCGGACGGGCGGGCAGGCAGCTCGCTGGCTTGTTCGCTCACTCACGCTGCTCGGTCGGCCGGTCGGGCAGGCGGACGGGCGGGCGGGCCGGCCGGCCAGGCGGCCAAGCCGGCAGGCAGGCAGCCCAGCCAGCCAGGCGTTTCTCACGAAAAAGCCCACGGTTCAATCACCCGCCGCTAGAGTCGCTGTGTGCACTAAAATGACAGGGCCACGATACAAAGAAACGAATGGAACGTGTGTCCCGGAGCTATTGCTAGGAAGTACACACCGCGCTGAAAACATCGGTCCCTTCACAGATGCTCCGAGGCGCCTGATCGAAGCACGAAAAAGAGACAAAAATAAAAGAACGAAAGAAGCGACGAATTGTCGAAGGAAAGTTCACAAACAAAAACCGCCCCGCGTTCTTCGTGCGTGGAGAGGAGCGTGAGAACGCAGCGGACGCCAGAGCGGCTACTCGTCGCCCCACGGGACTTTTAAATCCGGATTTAAAGGCATTCGGCATTGCGCTCACCACTCGACGGAGAGCGACGGAGCGCTCATCACACTTCAAGGCACCAGCACTGATCACTAGAACACGGCGAACAACTGGAAACGCCTTCGGGTACTTACCGACTTGGAGAACGTTATCCACACATCCGGTTTCCAGCAGCTTTAATCCTTTGTAAAACGATAGGTTTTGATGTTCACCACTCGCGTTCACTGGAGGCACTCGCGAAAGGGACGAATACATGCAGATGTCGCGTTCGTCTCTAGGAAACGACCAGTAGATGATGCGTCTTTGCACTGGCTCGGGGATGCGGTCGTAGCGCTCCTCGATGCGCTGGAAGGGGATGTTCTCGGCGACGATCTTGGCCGTGATGTCGAGCAGCGAGTCGACGCAGCGGCCTCCGCCGCCCAGCCGCAGCTCCGAAGCCAGCAGGAAGGGCGCGGACGTCACCCCGCAGCCGCCCAGGGCGCCCAGCCCGCCCAGCGCGCCCACGGGCGCCAGCGGGACGGGCCCCACGGGCAGAGGCACGGGGCCGGGGCCGGGGACGGGGCCGGGCCCGCCGCCGCCACGGGCCCCGGGGTGCGGCGGCTGCGGCGCGGGCTGCTGCGGGGCCGCCTCCGCGCCCGGTGGTGTGGCTGCAGCAGCAGAGGGTAGTGCGGCGGCAGAGGGTGCGGCGGGTGGTGCGGGCCGCCGCCGGCTGCCGCCGGCGCCGCTGCCGCCGCCGCTGCCGGACGCGCCGCCGCCGCGACGCGGGCGCAGCACAGCCTCTTCACCCCAGACATCGCCACTCGCGTTTGACGGCCGGGGCCGCGCCGCGCCGCTCGCGACCCCTCGCACGCTCCCCTCACCCCTCCGCGGAGGCCGGCGCGCGGGGTGGGGGCCGCCGTTTTACGACACTGAGCATGCGTCGGCGGCCGCCCCCACTTCCGCGGCCCCCCTCCGCGCCGCGGGGGGGGGCCGGCCCGCCCGCGCTCGCTCCGGGCCGCGTTGAACGACCACGCGGCCCCGCCAGCGCCTGTCTCGTTTGTTTATATTCTCCACATGGTATTGCGAGCGAGCGCAACGAAGGCTGCAGCGGGCGCCGACAAAGGCCCGCCCGGCCAGGGGCGGTGGGAACCTGGGGGCAAGGTGGCGGGAGGGGGCGAGCGGGGAGCGGTGGGGGGGCGCGGGGAACGCGGAGGGGAAGAGAGGAGAAAGAAGGCGCAACGTCCCGTAAATTTTTCGTCTCACCCCTTGATCCGCGTAATGTGCTTCGGGATACGCCCGAGGCAACCACGGGCGGAGGCCGTGCGGGCGGCGGCGCCGCGCGTCGCTGCCAAAGTACGCAAACAAACGCACGCGGAAAATTCGTAACGTGGGTAATTTCGGACCGCGCAGCGCGCGAGCAGGCCCCAGGGTTCGATACGGTCCCAAATTCCGTGGGCGGTGCGAGCGGGCGGCAGCGGTGGTGGAGCGGCGGCGGGCGCCCCGCCAGCGTCGGGAGAGGGGCCTGAGGCGGCGTCGGCGGCGCGCGCGGGCGACGCGGACGGCGCGGCGGGCCGGCGCGCGGGCGGGCGGCCCGACGGGCAGGGGGCGCCATCCACTTGGCTGCATGAAATGACATTAGAACGACTCGGGCCCGCGCCGAACGGGATCAATAGTCCTGCCGCTCTTGCCTGCGCCCGCGCCGCCGGCGAGCCTGCTCCGGCCCGCCGACGTTTTCATCGGGCAGCGCGCGCGGCCGCGGCCGCCGCCCCTGCGCGGTATTAGCCCCAGCGCCGCCCTGCCGGCCTGTGCGAGCGGCTGGCGGGCGCCGACGGGGAGCCGAGGAACTCGTGATGGGTGGGCCCCAAGCCAACCGGGACTGAATTTTTTTAATTTTTTTTTTCCTTTCACATACTGCCCCTTCACTTCTTTTCAGAAATATTTTGTTTAAGGTAAATTTTCTCTAGATTTTGAAGAAATATTTCACATTAGGTATGGGAGGTAGATGGTGATGGATGCAATTTTAAGATTTTTTTCCTTTGATATGGAACTTATCAAGCCCACTATCTTTACAAGTGTAATTTATATTTCTGTAGTAGTAAAGGTCACATATTCATTGATGCATTTTTATAAATCAAATTTATGTAGAGAATATAATAATTGCATTATAACCACACCTGACCGGTTACAACTATCAATTTAAACCCAGATTTTTCACGTAATTATTTGAATTATAAAATAGAATAATGGAAATTGTATGTAGAAAACAATAATCTCCTGTATATAATATGCTAAGTAAATACGATAAATGTATCCGTTTTAAAGAAAGTCAACAACACAAAACCCTGTAAGTACATTACTGTTGGATAAGTAAGTACTCACTAGTGGTGAATCAAGGAAATGTAAGGGGAAAAAATAAGAGTTCGCAGATTAAAGTTAATTTGGATTCTCGGGGGCAGATGCAACCCGCGAATCACAATCCACCGCAACACATGTTATCATCGTTCATTACTTGAAAACGACGCGTCCTAGAGTCTTAAAACTAGATTTTTGTGTTCCTTGAAAGGAAGTCTTTTTATTTTCTATTTGAGACCGTTTTGGACGTTTTTGGGACCGTTTGGACATTTTTATGGTACCGTTACTCCGTAGCATGGATTGAAATAACGCTGAAAGTTGGGTTGCAGTGGGAAGCTATTTTCATTTTTAAAACAATGATTTCAAAAGTTGTAAAGTTGTAAATTGAAATTCTCTGTGAAAAATCTTCGGTGCCTTTTTTATTTCGTTTTTGGGCATTTCGCTCTTTTGACAATGAGGACTGACTTTTTCAATTGATGCGAGTTTTTTGTTTTCTTGATAAGGAAGAATTGGCAATGAGAAATAAGTTAAGAAACTGTTAATGTTTTTAATTTATGTGTAGAGTACATCTCCTGCTCTGTGGCCCTGTTTGAGGGGCCTGAAAGGGGCGCGAGGAGGTGATGAACTATTGGATATGTTTGACAGATGACCTTGGGACCTTTGTGGTCTGTGGGAAACGCATTTTGTTTCAGTATCCACGCCCCCTCCTTCCTTCTGAGACGGACACCGAAAGTCGCATGTGCGAAGAGACTGAGTCATCAGAATGTAACTTATATACAGCTCCTAATTATCAGTTAGAATCCAGTCAGAATTTATTTCTAAAGGTTTAAAACTTATTTCTAAAGGTGTTCTTATATCGTACTTCTCCAATTAAATGTGTGGGCAAGGAACAAACACTACTTTGCATCATAACAATCGCACATTATCCAGATCATTATAGTCGTATTGTACATCACAACGTGATACCGACAATTCTTGTTCCTAATATACAATATAATTTCGAATTGTGTTTTGGAAAGAACTATTCAATGATATAAAATGTATAATACATCATTATAGCGATTTATTCAGATTAGGCAACCACACAATTAGTACATTCTAGATCTGAACGCTACAAGTTGAGGTATCCTAAAATATATCCTAGGTATTTACTGCTAGCATTTGATGGAAGTTCAAGTACAAACAAGACAACAGAATGAGAGAATCAAGTAAAAAAGCTGTATTTCTGAGGAGGAAGAAAATGTCTTCTTAAACGTATTCTGGGGTGTGAATTAGAATTTAGCAAGTTATTAGATAAGTCTATCCGCAGGCTACTTACTCCAGAAATTCTGGCTAACCGTATGATTCGGTTTACTCTTACAGACCTATTTCATGCTTGACATAGAAAAAGGCACGAGAACGTGCTCATTCTCTCCAGTTTAATCAAAACCTACTACGACCCTAATAACGAATTAGTGTTAACACTTCAAGAATGTCTCTCTGCAAGTTCTATAAACAATACTTGGCTCCCTAACTGACCACTGATTTCTTTTACAAGAGAAATATTTGCTGTTTATTTGCTTGAAGCTTGAAGCTCTTTTGAAATTTTGAACATGAAATTTTAGTATGATGGAATTGGAGGTTGCAACATTATTGCACCACATTATTTGAAGAAAAATGAGATCTGGACATTGCAGAAATTAAATTATTAAAATGATTTATAACATGTACATGGAATTTCATTATGACGGGATTGGTGATTGCAACTTTATTGCACAACATTAGACTAGATAATTTGTGCTTCAAGGACCGTTTTATTTCGACACACTCTTTTAATTTCAGGAGAATTTAAAATACGGATGTTTTTACATTCATGCGAAAACACAAAATCAACAGAACACTAACTTTCAACATTGTACAACATTCAATTTCAGATCGTCACTGGTCTTATAATCAATGGTAACGAGTTGTGGTCAATGGCAATGGTAATTGCCACTTATTATTACAAAAATGGAAATTGGTGATAATATTAAAATTACTTATAAACACGAGTATATGCACACTAATCATCGCCTTAGGGCACGAGCTTGCAACATTGCACAATGTTACACTTTAGGCATAACTGTTTCAAAATTAAAGCTAACATTTATTTATTTTCTCGTACATGTAGTATAGACTGGGTATACATAGTTTAGAGAAAGTTATGTAATGCTGCAGAAATACCTTTTAGGGTCCATTTATTCTGTAAAAGTGGTTTTACTTTCTCGTTATACTAGGTGCTCACTATGTAGTAACGATAAAAAAAATACTGTCGTGCTACTGCCAAAAATAGCGGTTTTTCACCAGAAAAACTGTTTTTTGTGGGTCCTAATTCCGATGAAATGGATAAATGTGTTTTTATAAGAGCAAATCACATCTTCTAACATGTTGTTTAGTCAGACTCCATGTTTTCTGGGTCCTTGATACTGACTCGGCAAAGGTGGCTCAGGGCATCAGCCGACCGGAATGTCCTGGGGACCGAGTCCCGACGGTGGCAAGATATTCGACACTAGTTACACAGATAGGTCGAGTTCAGCCGCAGTCTGTAGGAGAATTCTAGCGGCCAGCTGCTCTGATTGATAGTTTTCGGTGGTTTCATCGATTAACACCAGGCGAATGCCGGAACAGTAACCTAACCAACGGGCCTCAAACCGCGCGCGATCTTTCCTTCCCCTGCCTTGCCCTATCCTCACCCTTACAATCACACACAGTCACAAGCTCTACTCTATCACACATGTTGGGAGAACAGTAGGGAACTTAGAGCTCGTCTCAGCTGGGTCGGGGTCCCGCAGGTGGGAGATGTGTGGTCGGTAAAAACCCCTTGCAAGTCCACGTAGGGTAGTGGTCGGATCTCGCCATTCACCGCGTAAGATCACCTCCACCTTTCCGCGCTAAAAACATGCATTACACTTACGGGACTAGTTGTATAAGCTGACGCGCCCGGAATCACCAATCAGTCCTTTGGTTGGTACTGGTTTGGTGTGTTTCTTTGTTTACGGTGGAATGGGTTTGCGGTTAAAACGCCTCCCTGTCCGTACGTGGTCAACACTAGCGCCTAAACCGTTCAGACGATTTCTTCAAAATCGATATTTCTCACAACCGATGTGGCTGAACGTCGGGGTCCTGCGAGTTTGAAAAGATATTTGGAGTTTTAGAAGTATCTCTATTCTCAAAATGCTTCCACAACATTTTCAAAATTTTCTAAAAAATGGATCCAATTTTTTAATAAATTTTTGTCCTATAAAGCGTACAAGAAGCTTGAAAAATGGCGCTGGTCTCATTTCGTTGAAATCTTGATTTTTCGGAAATAATAAAAGTTGCTCATAGATGCATGTAAGAAAGCGCCTCATTTTTTAAAAACGTCGCGGCCGTCCGTCCTGTTTCTGAGCTTGGAGTTTCTCATTGGCCCTAAGTAATAGTACTTTACTATAGTATTTTTCTCAAGCTATTCCGCCCGCCACAGCCTCGTATTCTCCGTCCAAGGACACCGAACAACAATGTAATAGTCACATTTATCTATTACACGAGCCTGGTATGCTGTTGAGCGAATCTTAAGACCTCATTAAAGTAAGATCGTTGGCTCCTGTAAGATTCCTACGCATTCTATAATAACAAATGTCCTGGGCCAAAATCGAATCTCTTCACTAGGTGTTTGACATCGATTTGTAGCAGTAGCTTGGGTGGAAGATGCTTATCTTCAGCCTAAATGGATGAAATAGTGAACCCAATGCTTTCAAACATTGGAAATTTGATCACTGAATCATCGTTATACTTAACACAACCTATCAGACGCAGCAATAGAATCTTGGTTTCTTTTGTGTTTCTCTTTATCTTTCATTTCATTCCAAAAAAACACTGCTAGCCTATTAACTTTTTTATTGTTAGTAGTATGGTTTATTGAAATCATGATTATAGATAAGAGGAAATTATTAGTTATAAATCACTCTTCTCTCGTATCCTCCCCAACAACCAGAAGTCCGACGCGGAAACACGATTTCATTTCGCTTCAACCTCAGCGTCAATTTGTCTGACATCTTGATATAATGTTTAGTTGAAATTACTCATATAGCGGTTTCCTAACTTTTGCAAGATATCCAGAGCTCTTTTAACTGAGTTGAATGAGTGATTTCCTACAAACACTTCTTACATTGCCTCGTCAGGGACAAATATTTGCTTCTTCTAAATTTATTTTATCGTAAGCTTGTTAATCTTTCGTTTTTCCAAAGATGAATTACATTGTTTTCGTACAC